TCAGTGCCCCCTCTCGGGGGTGGTGTAAAAATCAAAGCCCTCCCAGCGGGCCAGCGGGCACCTGCGGGCACACCAGCCAGCAGGCCTGTCCCCCCTTTTCTGGAGTTGCAGGTCCACCTTAGGCTGCAAGTGCAGCAGTTGGGTGTCTGCCCTGAGATCCAGTCCTGGAGGTTCGGGACAGGAGCAGCGGGCCATTGAGACCTGGAGTTCTACAGTCCCTCCCTGTTGTGAGGGTGCAGGGGGCCCCGGCTGGGAGGACAGCGCCTGAAAGCTGTCCTGGCTGCCATTCCCCAGGAATGGACAGCTAGGGGGAAGGGTGCCTGGACCCTCCCTCAGGTCTGCCGCTGGAGATGGGAACATGGCTTCTGACCTGCATCCCTGGTCTTGTCTCCTCCCCTCCCCCCAAATGGGGACACGTGGGCTACAGGACTCTGGTTTCCGTCAAAGCTAGGAGCGCAGCCTCCAACACTGGCCAGGCAGGCAATGAGTCCAATGGCGTGGTGACCCGGCACCCCCACGTTGGTCCTCAGCTGCGTGGGGGGTAAAGGAAGGCCATGTGTCTGAGCAAGGCTGCTTTTGTTCCGAAGGCAGCAATGACGAACCAGCTTCCCCGAGTGGGTGCTTACATTTTCCTTTATCCCCCCTCACCCTCAGCTGGCACCTGGGCAGCCCTTTGTAGAGCAGAGGGCTGTTCGCCATGGAGGAGCGCCAAGCCCCCACAGGCAGAGCGAGACCTGGCTTCAGGTGATTCCTGTGTAGGCAGGAGTTGGGTCCGGCCTGGCTTGCTTCCTGATCTCTGCTGCCAGCATCTACGCGTGAGGAGGCTAGCTGACCAGGGGCGGGGGGCACAGGGGTCCCAACCCTCCCTGTGGGCCTGGGGGGTGTTGGTATCCACAAGTTACCTCTTTCAACTGCTCCTCGTGGAAAAGATCCAGGTGAGACCCTGACTGGGCCCATCCCTGTCCTCGCTGTTGGCTGGGAGTGTGAGGAGGCCCTCGATCCCCAGGCCGGAGGCCGCCTCCCCCTGCGCTGTGTCCATCCCCTCCCCTGCCCTGCAGTGGGGGGTCTACGTGTGCCTGTCTGCTGGTGCCGGGCTGCGAGGGAAGCTGGGATGTGCCCGCCCAGGCTATTTTTATCCAGCCCTGTCCCCACAGAGCTGTTCTTTGGCTCTGAGTTACTGCCTGGGGAGGGAAGCTGTTGCCAGGACTGGGGGTGGGTGAGCTGGAGCCTCAAGCCTCCCGGACTCCCTTGCCCGGGCAGCATCTCATCCTAACACTTATTAAAGGCTGTAATTAATGTGCAGAGAGACCATCCAAGCGAGTGGGCAGAAGACCACCCTGGTGGGAGAAAAGAGACACTTGGCACTTGGAGGGTAGGCTTTGCCACTTGCAAAATTATTCTAGAAGCCGAACCTAACTTACCCCTGCTCACTGTCAGAGGGAGAAGGGGGGGTCAGAGGGAAAGGACCCCAGGGCTAGAAGGAGGCCAGCAAACTAGGAGACGTCCTCGCACACGAAGACAACGGTTTAGGTTTATCGAGCGCTTTGTAGGAGTTTAGACAGCCTAAGGTCTCAGAGCAGAGAGGAATTTGGACCCATTCAGTCCACCTCCAGAGCTTGCTCCAACACCAGTTTGCCCACTCTTCTCTGCCAGGTGTCCGCACCTGAGAGGACAGGCATTCTCCAACCCTCCAGTTTGGTAATCGCATCCCCAGCATGAGACGAGGCTCATAAACTGAACAGCTCAGCTGGGGTCACACCATCGGCTCTTCCCAGCTCACCTTACCCAGCTCACGTATCCAAACAATTCCACCTACACTTGCTGGTCACCTACCATGTGCTTTCTCTGTTGCGGACATGGTGGGGGGCAGTCACATGTACTCCCCATGGCTACCCTGCAAGGTCTTCCCTCTCCAAAGCAGAGGTTGGGGGAGGGGGGTTGGGATTACCTGGTTTTCCTGCCTTGGCATTAGCTACCAGGACAATGTGGAGTAATGGTGTTTGTGACTTGAAGGCAGCCCGACAGGGGCCAGGTGGGGGAGGTTCCAATGAAGCTCTCGTCTGGACCCCGCTCTTCCCCTGCTGAGAATGTGGACAGTGGGGCATTATCAGCTCTTCTGAAATGTGGATACCGCCTCCCATGGGTATTTTCAACAACTGAACTGAGCCCATGCCAACTTCCTACAAAGGAAGAGCTGACTTTGGGGCCTGCTGGGGTGCACACTGCTCTCAAGACTGGAGAGGTACCCCCGGACAGGCTGTGAGCCTCTCGGCGCCCACCTCCAGCCAGGCCGGCACACCCATCCCCAGCTGGAGACTGCGCAGGGACGCAGAAGGGGTGCCATGGCACAGATCTGCCGGAGCAGCTGATGGGGGCTGGTTTCCCCGGTCCTGGGCCACAGAACTCTCCAGAAGCTCCTGGTCTGGTGTAAGTATCCAGGCCCAGCCTCTCGAGGAGGGCATACCTGCTGGCCTCCTGTCTGACCGGTGCAGACCTGTGGGCAGTAGCAACAGCTCAGCATGTGTGACATCAGCTCTACCAGGTCAGGGTTTACTCTCTCAGCTGCTGACTCTGGCTCTGTCGCATGTGACCCTTAGAGTAACCTCTGAGGTAGAGCTGTCCCTGTTCTGTAGGTGAGGAGGGGTCAGGAACTCTGAGGTCACTTGCTTGTGAGTGGCTGGGCCCGTGAGGATTAAAGCCGAGCTAGCTCGCCCACTCCCAGAGCTGTGCCCGCTCCCAGCCCCGCACACAAGGATGTGCCGGGGCTTCTGGAGGAACTCTGTGGCGGCTTTAGCTCGGCCAATTCCCAGATGCTGAGCAGGATAGAAGGGGGCCAGAGTGGTCTGGACATATGCCACCCACAATGACTAGCCCTGTGTCCTGGGTCCCAGGGACCCAAGGGGAAGGGGTCACTTACAGCTATTCCTCACTGTGCCTGCTGAAGACACTTCCCTAAAGGCCCCCAAAAGATCAGACACACCCTCTCAGTGAAGGCCCGCTCCTCATCCCCCTGATCCTGCCGCCTCTCCAAAGCAGGGTCCAGAATCCCGGCTGTCCCCCCAGCGCACACCTCCAGACACTCTGTTGGGGCAGAGCTGATGTTGAGCATGTGGCGCAGGGAGCGGTCGGCTCTCCCGGTCTCCGGGTTCCCGTACAGAAACACGGATGGGCATGGGGGCCCTGTTGGAGTGATACCCTCCCCCACTGCCAAGCAGCTGCCACAGCCAAGGTCCCACTGCTTAGAACCAGACTAGGTTGTGTGTCTAGACGCCACTGGAATTTTGCCCTGGTCTTAGGAATTGCCCAATCTCCCTCAATCCGTTCATCTTTAACTGGTCCTCCTTCCAGGAAACCTCCCTTCTCTAGAGGGTATATGGCACCGGGATTTGCTAGGGCCCACTGCCCCAGGGAGGTCTGGCTGTAGGTAGCTTGGCCTTGAAGCCCCTGCTGTCTGATCAAGTATCCCTGTGGGGATGATCTTTTTCTTATGGATAAACCCTTTCTTTTCCTCTGCAACTTTATCTAAAGGACAGTAAAGGAAACTGGCTCAGCACGCCCATCCCAGGCCTAGTGCTGATCCCCCCCCCCCCCCCCCC